AGAAATACACAAATTTTCCGATTTTCTAGCGCAAATTAGTTTGGAATTTATAGCCTGCATTACTGTATTTGCATTTACGTGTACTTACTCATATTTACGCATGTTTACATGCGACTAGATGCTTTCAGAGTATCTAATAATGGATACGCAGAATCTAGACTCTGTGAGGGGCTGGACAGGGCTGGAAGATGTACCTAGTGCTACGAATGTTATAGGGTATGTGCCCAGGAACAGATGCTCAGAATTCAGGCTGCTTGCTTTCCGGGCATTTGTCCCTGGGCATATAGTGCCCTACATGTAAGTACCACTAGGTGCATCTTCCAGACCAGCTAGATAGCGCACCTTTGCCCTCTGCCCGCATCTAAACACCAGGTCCCCATGCACCAGGACTAAATGCCCAGTGCACATGGGGCCTTAGAAGAGCTCATTATTGATTCATTTTTGACTAGGGACTTACATTTTCTGGAGTGAGAGGTTGTTTTGGATGTGACGCATACATTTTTTTAGTGTGATAAATACATCTTTGGATGCAATGAATATATACCACTTGCAGTTCTATATATTTGTGCTACCAAAAGGAAAACATAAGTCATCAATTGGCAGGTAAGTCTCCCATCCGCTAATTACACCTGTCTCTGCTAAACATCTTATTCATGCAGACTCAGTGAAAGGATCATACTTTTCTCTGTGGAGGTATTAAAAGAAAATTCCTATTCAGTAAACAGTGGTCTCCAAAATTTGGCCCTTTGCTTGCCTTTATCTGGCCCTTGGGGCACTTTTCCTCCCACTGATACAAGACACTATTCCTCACACTGACACCAACAATGAGGTACTATTCCTCCCTCTGACACCATTGATGGGACACTATTCCTCTAACTAACACCAATGATGGGGCACTGTTCCTCCCACTGACACCAGTGATGAGACACTGTATCTCTAACACCAATGATGGGACATTATTCCTCATACTGACACCAGTGATGGGACTTTATTCCTCCAACTAACACCAATGATGGGGCACTATTCCTCCCACTGACATCAATGATGGGGCACTGTTCCTCCTACTGACAACAATGATGGGGTACTATTCCTCCCACTGATACCAATGAGGGGCACTGTTCCTCCCACTGACACCAATGATGGGGTACTATTCCTATCACTGATACCAATGATGGGGCACTATTCCTCCCACTGACACCATTCAAGGGGCACAATTCAACACTGAACCAATGATGGGGCACTATTCCTCCACTGATGCCAATGATGGGGCACTATTCCTCCCACTGATGCCAATGATGGGGCACTATTCCTCCCACTGATACCAATGATGGGGCACTATTCCTCCTACTGACAAAATGATGGGGCACTATTCCTCCAACTAACACTGCTCTTCCCACTGACACCAATGATGGGGCGCTATTCCTCCCACTGATACCAACGGTGTGGCACTATTCCTCCCACTGACACCAATGATGGGGCACTATCTCTCCCAATGATACAAACAGTGGGCACAATTCTCCTACTAATCCGAAAGATAAATTGATAAATCCCACTCACGCCAGGACATTTTCTACTCCCAATCACCACAGTCCGGCCCCCCTAAAGTCTAAAGTAAACTGGCCCTTTGTTTAGAAAGTTTGGAGACCCCTGCAGTAAAAGAGTGTAGAGTACTGGCAATATTAATAAAACTAACAAGGGTCCTTCCCAACATTATACAAAACAAAAAAATGGCTTTAGATACTGTGCACCAGCAGTGTTGCTAGGATTGTGAAAGACCCAGGGTGTTCTTGGGCACTGGGGGGGGGGGGGGGGAGTGGGTGGGATGCATAGTTTGTCCTGTGGAATGATGGGTGAGAACAAATTGCACTAACGGGAAAGGGGGGGAGGAGTAGTTTAAAAGGGCATAGTTAAATTTTAACTTGAGCCCACTTGATTTATACATGGCACACAAATGCAACAATCCTTGTACCTAAAAAATATGCTTTTAATTATTGAGCCACCAGCGAGGGTCTCACAGACATGCATAAACATAAGAACAAAGTTGTAAAGATTGAAATGTACATTAAAGATGCTTTTCTGCACACAGGTGATGCACAGAGTGCAGGGGTCAGAAGTACTTGATGCAGGGGCCATGCATGTGTACCACAGAGATTGCAGGAGTCAGCAGTATGTAATACACAGAGCATAGCGGCTTGGAGTATATAATGTACAGAGTGAGTAACACACAGAGAGCAGTGGTCAGAATTACATAATGCAAAGAGTGCAGGGATCAGGGTGATTAACACACAGAGTACAGTGGTCAGGATTACATAATGCAAAGAGTGCAGGGATCAGGGTGCATAATGTACAGAGTGCAGGGGTCTGAAGTATTTAATGCAAGGGCCATTCATGTGTACCACAGAGATTGCAGGAGTCAGCAGTATGTAATACACAGAGCATAGCGGCTTGGAGTATATAATGTACAGAGTGATTAACACATGGAGTGCAGTGGTCAGGATTAAATAATGCTCAGAGTGCAGGGATCGGGGTGTGTAATGTACAGAGTGCAGGGGTCCGAAGTACTTGATGCAGGGACCATGCATGTGTACCACAGAGATTGTAGGAGTCAGCAGTATGTAATACACAGAGCATAGTGGCTTGGAGTATATAATGTTCAGAGTGATTAACACACAGAGAGCAGTGGTCAGAATTACATAATGCAAAGAGTGCAGGGATCAGGATTACATAATGCACAGAGTGCAGGGATCAGGATTACATAATGCACAGAGTGCAGGGATCAGGGAGTGCAGGGATAGGGTGCGTATGTAGAGTTCAGGGATCGGGGTGTGTAATGTACAGAGTGAAGGGGTATGCAATATGTACCACATCTCTTTGCTCTCCACCCCCCTTCCCCATACATATTATTCCACAATACATTTGTGCATACCTGCACTATCCTATGGTGTCAGCCTTCCAGACCTCAGATACCAGTTTAAAATGAGGGGAAGTCCATCACATCAGAGCCAAAGAGGAGTGTGTGAGTATGTCTCTCTCAGCTCTGAACTGCAAACCTGCTGTGGTATCTGAGGTCTTTCAGCGGCTGCAGTGTGATTGGCACAGCAGCGTCAGAAGAGATGTGGGCACATGCCCTTAGTGTCTGGCAATAGCAGCGCCACTGCTGTACATTAATTAGGAGGAGCATGGAACTGAGGAACAATGGGATCAAGGAACTGAAATATTGTGATGGTTTAATTCTCACATCTAAGAAGCAATTTTAAAGCCAAAACATTTTATTTACCCTAGGTTCACACCTAAGCATTTTCCGCAGCGTTTTGCAGAAACGCAGTACAGTCCAGTTAGCAGGATTTCCTTGGGGAAACATTCACATCTCCGCGTTTTCACCTGGTGCATTTTTTGGAAAGGGTCAGGGACTTTTTTGAACGCAAAAAGTTGCGTTTTTGGTTTTATAGACTTCAATGGAAATGCTGCAGAAAAACATGTAGTGCGTTTTTGCAGTGTTTTTGATGCGTTTTGCGTAAAATGCATCAAAAACACGTAAAAACGCAGGTGCAAAACCGCAATGCAGAAACAGGTTAAACGCAACCTGTATAGGTGTGAACCTAGCCTTAGTGTAGGTGTCACATGGACAGGAATTGAGGGGAAATCTCTACAATGGGGTCACAGACAGAAATACATAAAATTCTGACATACATTTTAACTCCTTCCTGTTTGCAGCGTTTTTGATGCGTTTCGTGTCCAGTTAGCAGGATTTCCTATGGGAAATATTCACATCTCCGCGTTTTCACCCGGTGCATTTTTTGGAAAGGGTCAGGGACTTTTTTGAACGCAAAAAGTTGCGTTTTTGGTTTTATAGACTTCAATGGAAACACTGCAGAAAAGCATGTAGTGCGTTTTTGCAGTGTTTTTGATGCGTTTTGTGTAAAATACATAAAAAACACATAAGAAATGCAGGTGCAAAAACACAATGCAGAAACAGGTCAAACGTAACCAGTACAGGTGTGAACCTAGCCTTAATTTATGTGTCACATGGACAGGAAGTGAAGGGAAATCTCCACAATGGGGTCACAGACAGAAATACACAAAATTCTGACACATGTTTTAACTCTTTCCCAACTCTGTCCAAAGCAAAAAAACAAAAACAAATTAGCGTTAGTCTATAGGGCCTATTCACATTGGTCTACCCTGGTGCATTGCATTAACCTACCCACATTATGTTGACTGTTAATGTGTAAACAAAGCTAATTCATTTGTAATGCACCAAGAAAGGAGCCAGAAATGGGCCAGTCACTATTTTTTGTGACAATGCACACCACAATGGTAGCTGGCGCTATACTGTGCATTGGCTATGCTGCGACATATGTGTATTGGAGGTGCATTCTGTTGGTGTATTGGGGAGCCATTGAATCAGAATGGCGCTGCAACTCTGTGAATGGGCCTCTTCAAGTTATGTGTAAGTACTGATGCAGATAAAATGCTGCTGTTTGTGGGGCTGTGTGGTTTAAAGAACTGGCCTAGCCTCCATTATTATGGGTTAGTGTGTTAGATGAATGATACGCTGTTTTCTTTGTACAAGTTTGGGCTGGAGGGTTTTTATAATTACAAGCAGGACAATGTTACTGTTTGTAATTTGTTATGCTTAAAATCCGTGAACACACTGCCAGGCATACCGGATCAGATGGGAAACAAAATGTGCAGTGTATCCATCATGTGACCCTTCCTGTACAAAGCTCCCCTCTTGTCACTCCTGGGGGGGGGGGGGGGGGTAGGTCTGTCCAATTACAGTGTATGTATACAGATGTCCTTTACATCCATTTCACAGCCTCTTTATACTTAGAAAATTATATACAAGCATTAGAATTACATTTCCTTGTTATAAACTGCAGCGTTTTGCTGTTTGAAGCCACCTAACGCGCAAGAACCCTGACGCCAGGGGTGGACTGACCATTCGAGCACTTGGGCACTGCCCGGGGGCCCGGAGTCAGTAGAAATGCCCCTGTTACCTTTTTATAGGCTTTTTTGGGTGTGCTTTGAGTGTGGGCAAGGACACAGGGGCCCCATGATTCCCTATTGCCCGGGGGCCCCATGAGTTGTCAGTCTGCCCCTGCCTGACGCACTACTGGAGTACACCTGTGTTACAGCGTACTGCTCTGCATTGAGGCGCTATGCTTTGGGAATAGTAGCGCAGGGGCATTTTCTGGTGTGGTGCGTTGGTAGCCTATTCAAAAAAGGAGAACTGAACAGATGCCTTTTATCTTGATGATTTTTTAAAAAATGTGTATAGATTAAGGTAGGCCCAACACAAGGGCACATAGAGAACAAGTGTTTCTATGTGCAAAGTTCGCATCATAATGCTGTGCTGAGTTGGTGAAGAAGTGAGAAGTGTCTTTTTGTAGCTCTTTGATAAAGTGAAAGAAAAAAATAAAACAAAAAGTAAACGGCACCATACATTTTAGCAATGCATCACACCGCTGTTACACACCGTATGCCAGCCCATATGCGTTTTAGCATGGCAGCTGGCGTGAACACGCTCTTAGACAGTTGTGTCTGGCATTAACTGCACAGTGGTCACCATGACAAAGAGAAGAGTGAATTTTTCCAATGGATACAAACAGCAATAAAAGCCTCACAGAGGTTTCAATACTCCAGTCCATACTATCCAAAACAAAACAAAATACTGGTTTGTAGGTATTAAGTTGTCAAAGTAAAAGCGTACCTAAAGGCAAAACCTTTTTTTTTTTGATACTTTGAGGAAAGGTAAGACCCTCTTTTAAGTTTTTATTGTTGTTATTGATGTCCCCTTTAGGCCCCTTTCACATGGGTGGATCAAAATGGAAGCCACTCATCTGAAAGGGCCCCTAGTGAGATTCACTTCTCTACTTGTTCACTAGAACATTGTCGCTGACAAAGAAAGTGAGAGGAAATCCAAAACTTTGGAGCTGTTCCCAAAACAAGAGGTGATGAGAATTCTTCTGATGGGGACACCTATTTCAAGGACAACTGTGGGGAATTCTTCCTACTTTCAGTTGCATCTCTGGGAAAGAAAGGAAAGGGAACCAGAGTGTAGCACAGTGGTGCACAAAAAAAAAAAAATGGCAGGCATTTTATTTCTTCCCCACTCCATCTAAAACTACACTATATTGCCAAAAGTATTGGGACGCCTGCCTTTACACACACATGAACGTTAATGACATCCCAGTCTTAGTCCGTGGGGTTCAATACTGAGTTGGCCCACCCTTTGCAGCTATAACAGCTTCAGCTCTTCATGGAAGGCTGTCCACAAGGTTTAGGAGTGTGTCTATGGGAATGTTTGATCATTCTTCCAGAAGCACATTTGTGAGGTCAGGCACTGATGTCGGATGAGAAGGCCTGGCTCGCAGTCTCCTTTCATCCCAAAGGTGTTCTATCCGGTTGAGGTCAGGACTCTGTGCATGCCAGTCAGGTTCCTGCACCCCAAACTCGCTCATCCATGTCTTTATGGACCTTGCTTTGTGCACTGGTGAATAGTCATGTTGGAACAGGAAGGGGCCATCCCCAAACTGTTCCCACAAAGTTGGGAGCATGAAAATGTTCAAAATGTCTTAGTATGCTGATGCCTTAAGAGTCCCCTATGCTGCAACTAAGGGGCCAAGCCCAACCCCTGAAAAACAACCCCACACCATAATGCTCCCTCCACCAAACTTTACACTTGGCACAATGCAATCAGGCACGTATCGTTCTCCTGGCAACCGCTAACCCAGACACGTTCATAGGATTGCCAAACAGAGAACCATGATTTGTCACTCCAGAGAACACATCTCCACTGCTCGAGAGTTCAGTGGTGGCATGCTTTACACCACTGCATCTGAAGCTTTGCATTGCACTTGGTGATGTAAGGCTTGGATGCAGCTGCTCGTCCATGGAAACCCGTTCTATGAGCTCTCTATACACTGTTGTTGTGCTAATCTGAAGGCCACACAAAGTTTGAAGGTGTTTAGCTCTTGACTCTGCAGACAGTTGGCGACTTATGTGCACTGTGCGCTTCAGCATGTGCTGACCCCGCTTTCTCATTTTATGTGGCCTACCACTTGGTGGCTGAGTTGCTGTTGTTCCCAGTTGCTTCCACTTTGTTATAATACCACTAACAGTAAAACTGTGCGATATTTAGGAACAAGGAAATTTCACAGATGGATTTATTGCACAGGTGGCAACCTATCACGGCACCACGCTTGAATTCACTGAGCTCCTGAGAGCGACCCATTCTTTCACAAATGTTTGCAGAAGCAGTCTACATATCTAAGTGCTTGATTTTATACACCTGTGGCCATGGAGGTAATTAGAACGCCTGAATCCAATGATTTGGAGGGGTGTCCCAATACTTTTGGCAATATATTGTATATACACACCTTAGGTGCATTCGTCACTGTATCAACCTGCATTAGCTAATGCTTTTGTTGCCGAGTGTAAGGAATATACCTGACTCGGCAGACTAAATTACTTGAATGATGACACTTTGTGCTTCAAGGCAGACTATTAGTACTAACTATTATTTCCAAAAGTTCAGATACATACTGTGCTTACACCCAAGCACACACTCAGCATGCCTCATTGGTCAAAATCATTGGAGGCCTTAAGGGCGAGCCCATCTGAAAGTTGAAGCTCAGTTTTGGGTGGATACTAGCGAGTTGTTTCACCTTCAGTAATTTTAAAAAATTTTTGGGGTCTAGTGGTAAGGTTTCTCCTCCTGGGTTTTCTATAGGTTGAGCCACATTGCTGCTGTGTTCTCCATTTCTCCAACAGTATGGCAAGTGCAGAATGGGGAATACAACACTGAAAATGAAACCTGCGTTACCAGAATGCATAGTGTAAATAGGTCCTTACATGTTGTATTGTTTAGCACAGCCATTCTCAACTAGGGTTTCTTCAGATGTTGCTGGGGGTTCTTTTACCTGTGGTTGATTGACCTCCTGTCTGGTGATGACTGCTTAGTTTTGAAGCCAGTGTCCTTTTTAGCTGTCTGTAAGGCTACATTCACACTTGAATACTGGCATCTTTACCAATGTACTTGAGAAAATTGGATTCTGCTGCAGTCATGTCCCTCCTCTCCAGTCCCCAGATATCAGGAGCAGGTTCCCCATGGTCATGAACTGTACCACATCCAGCATACTAGTCCTTAGGAAAAAGGAGAAAATAGCTGCTCACCATAAAAACTAAAGTAAGGTATTTTGAAACAAACCAATGCACAGACAAGTCCACCTAATACCACCAGTCTTAACATTGGGCTTTGTCTGTGTAACAGTTTATTTCTATAAACCTAACTTTGGCTTTTATGGTGGGTTGTTATTTTTCCCCTTTTTTTCTGCTGTCTTAGGTTTTTTGTGTATTTTTGCCTGTTTGTACATATGTTATCAGGCTTGAGTGTTATTGTCTTAGCCAATGGAAACCTAGTTACTAAGAGGATGATATGATTCACCTGAAAAATGTGCATTGTGTTGTTTAGGCACCCCTGTTACAGTCTGTTGGGGCCAAAAATGTTTGACCATGCTCCACAGAAGCTTGTGCACATTTTCTGAGCTTTCAGTGTCAGCCTATCACTCAGATGTCAACAGGCAATCTGGTGTCAAGCATTGAAGGTTATCTGAACACGCCCTTTACATCGCTCAGGTGTGATTGAGGACGCAAGGTTACATTCTGACCATCAGTATAAGGGGGATATTCTTTCCACTGGCTACCAATCTAAGGGGCATTTTCCCCAATGAATGAACCCCCTCCCCCCCCAAAATAGTTTTAAGAGGGGTTCCCCAAGATCTGAAATTGGTTTCAAGGGAACAAAAAAGTTTGAGAAAGTTGGTTTAGGGTGTCTGCTTAGTTCAAAAATGAGGATTCCTTTCAGAGAAAACTGGGGGTCACACTTATTGAATGTTCATCCTTTGAGGCTACCAAATTTTAAAATGGCCTTGGTAATGCCAATTCCACCACTATTTTGTTCCATAGTGCTCCAGATAACAGCTAGCATCCAAGATTCTAAATTTCACATTTATCTTTCTAACATCTGCTTGGAAAGGTATTGAAGCACAGAATCAGAAATCATATGTATTACAGTAGCCCAATGAGGTATTTTTAGCAATATTACACATTTTTTATATTATCACACAGGAGCAAGCTGTACCTTGTTAGCATCTTAATCAACAATGTTGGCACACTAATACCTTGTACACGGAGGAGCCAAAAGGGAGGGTTCAGCACATATTGCACATAACAAGCACTCCTTCGCTGTCAATGTCACAAGAACTGCTCTGAGATCATTGGGATGGGCAAAGCAGTTTTTCTCACTCTTATTTTTTTTTTTTTTTTTAGTCATAAAAAATAAAACAACATAACATAAAAACATGTGTAATTGGACATTACCTTAATCGAAAGCTATGTAAGGAACTTGGGAGAAATTAACAGAGAGTAGCCCGGTCTACAAAGGCCCCTTTGGTAATTAGGAGCCATATATATATATATATATATATATATATATATATATATATATACACACACACACTATATTGCTGAAAGTATTGGGCCAGCCCTTCAGATCAATGGATTCAGGTGTTCTAATCACCTCCATGTTCAGAGGTGTATAAAATCAAGCACCTTTGCTTCTGCAAACATTTGTGAAAGAATGGATCGCTCTCAGGAGCTCAGTGAATTCAAGCGTGGTACCGTGATAAGTTGCCACCTGTGCAATAAGTCTATCTGTGAAATATCCTTCCTACTAAATATTCCACGGTCAACTGTTAGTGGTATTATAACAAAGTGGAAGCAACTGGGAACAACAGCAACTCAGCCACAAAGTGGTAGGCCACATAAAATGACGGGTTAGCCTATGCTGAAGCACACAGTGCGCAGAAGTCACCAACTGTCTGCAGAGTCAATAGCTAAAGACCTCCAAACTTTCTGTGGCCTTCAGATTAGCACAACAACAGTGCATAGAGAGCTTCATGGAATGGGTTTCCATGGCCGAGCATCTGCATCCAAGCCTTATATTACCAAGTGCAATGCAAAGTGTCAGATGCAGTGGTGTAAAGCACACCGCCACTGGACTCTAGAGCAGTAGTGATGTGTTCTCTGCATAGATGAATCA